TATGGCGGCTTCCAACCATCGAAGGAAGGTAGGCGCGACCGGTTTGGCCGTATAGACCTCACGGCGCGTAAGCTTCTGGCGGTGCTTGGAGTCGTAGGCCGCTGACCCTTCGAAGATCATGAGGCAGTCATCTAGCATCGAAAAGCCGCCATCCTTCCCTTGGCGTCATCTGTGGCCGACTTGGGGTCCCCCTATTCTCCCCCTTGTTGGAGCCTCTAGACAAGAACCGCTTCATAAGGACACAATTCTTATATAGGTGCTTGACGGGAAAAGCATGGTTCGGACATGGTCCTTCGAGTAGCTTCTCGAAGTGGTCTAGGGTGCCCTCGATGGGCTTCTGATCCCCCTTGCGGTCGGCGGTGGCCATGAGCAAGCCCTCGTGTCGCCGCTTGTTCTTCTTCTTGCTGGGACGGTTGGAGGTGCCTTCGTCGGTGTCCTTGTCCCGCTTTGCCTTGCCTTTGAGACGATCGAAAATCACCCCGACCGCCTCCTCGCCCGAGGCATGGCTGGTGGCGATGTCGAGGAGCTCCTTGGTGGTTCACGGGCCCTTGTGTCCTAGCTTATGAACCAGGGACTCACATGTGGTCCTAGACAGGAAGACTCCTATGACGTCGGCGTCGGCGACGTTGGGCAGCTCATTGCACTACCGAGAGAAGCGCCGGATGTACGCACAAAGAGTTTCCCCGGCCTTCTGTCGATAGTTTTTTAGATCCCATGGGTTCCCAAGACGCGCGTATGTGCCCTGGAAGTTTCCCACGAAGATCTCTTTCAGGTCCGCCCAACTTTGGATTCTATTGGGTGGAAGGTGTTCCAACCACGTTTGCGCCGAATCGGCCAGGAACAATGGAAGGTTGCGGATAATGAAATCGTCATTATTTGCTCCACCGGCTTGGCAAGCAAGTCGATAATCCTCGAGCCACAGTCTAGGGTTCATTTCCCCGGGATATTGGTTGGCGGTTGGTACCGCGGTGGAAAGACGACGTTGAGGATGTGTCGACCAAAGGCTTGAGGTCCCAATAAGTCAAGGCTCGGGCTTCGGTCCTCGTCGCTGTCGTAGCATCTACGACGACGAGGGTGGTAGCGACGGCTTGCCCCTCTCTCGCATCTTCGGGTATGTCTACGGACGTCGATGGTGTCGTGTGCGTCACGGTGCGTGGCCTACCACCTTGCTGCGCCTAGTGGACTGACATGTCCATGTTGGGTCACTCTAAGGGCACGCGCTGGCTGGCGTTGAGCTCGCGTTGCTGGGACAACAAGCTCTTGGCTTGTTGTGCCGCCGCACGCTCGAGTAGCATACAAATCTTGTGATGACCTCGATGATCCTCGAGCATCGCGGGCCCCGAAAGCCCCCGGAGTAAGGCCGCTGCGGCGGCGATGTTCTGGCTTGCCCGGGTAAAGTGTGGGAGGGCTTCATCGTCCTCGATGATCCTCTAGTTCACATCATGAGCCATGGCGCGTGCACGCCCACCATCTCCGTGGCGCTCTATCTCTCGCTCGAGCTCCGCGCGTTCCTACTCGAGCTGGAGTCATGCTTCCTCGAGCTCTTGGTGTTGGGCCTTCAGCTGCTCTACCCACATGCGAGGTGGGCCCCCTGCATCCCTCTCGACCTCGTCGTCGAAGTCGTTCGTTGGGGGTAGCCTCTCCCTCGTGGATGATCTTGACGTGTCCCTTGAGGGTACCTGCCATGAAACATTCATGAGAGGGGTGATGGCTCCCCTGCTGGAGTTAGAGATGAAGGGCGACTCTGATTCTACTGCGAGGAGGTCGTGAAAAGATTCCACGATATATTCGGTCATCCCCACGAACTCATCGTTCATAGGGGATGGAGGAGTGCGTTGCGCCACAAGGTGGCCAACGGTCTCTGCGGCGTTGCGCAGACCGGACGGGAATGTTGTCGGGGCGCTCGAATGAGGTATTTCAGGGAGAGCGGCTCTCCTCCGATAAGCTGCGTTATGACGTTGACGAACGAGAAGGTGAGGTGGCGCAGGTCCTCCGGGATGGTCGGGGTCCCAGGAAGGTGCAGAGCTGGCGCTTTAGCCTCCCGTAATCAAAGCCGAGGAGCTGGTTGCTCCTAGGGGCGCGGGCCTCCGGTGCGTGCAGCTATAGCTCCTCAAGCACCTCGGCGATCGCATCGAGGCCGATGGAGTGGAGAGGTTAGACGGCGGCGGGAGCCTGTGCCAACTTCCCCTCTGTTGTGACGATAAAGTCCAGGTTCCCGAAGCACACGTGCGCGCCCGGGACCCAGCTGACGTCGTGACTAGCCATCCGAGGCCTGGTGTGGACGTTGAGACGGGCAAAAGACCCCTACCTGGCACGCCAACTGTCGGTGTTTCGAGTTACCAATGAGTAAATTTGTATTTGCACGTCTGGCTCGGATGGTGTGCTTAGAGGACACGAGATTTATACTAGTTCGGGCAGAAAGTCTCTACGTCCAGTTCGTCGCTGCTGCTCATGTTACTAGCACTTTGTTTATAGTAGGGGTTACAAGCAGGCAAGAGACGGAAAGGATTCCAAGTCTCTGGTGGAAGAAATGAACAGGTGCTGAGAGCTCGATCGCTGCTCAGCCCTGTGTTCGTGTCGTGCTCTTGTGTTTTATCTCGTGGTTTAGTTTCGTGAGGCTCTAGATCTTGTGTTCGATCGTCCCTTCTCATGGGACGCCCTGCTTTCCCTTTTATACGCCCAGAGAAAGTGCGGGTTACAACGGAGGAAAAGAAGAAGAACCAGAGAGAGGAAGGCTTCCAGGATCGCCGGTCCTTCTCATTCATGCGGGTCCCGCCGATCCTATAGATGTCAATAGGGTCGGCTCCACGTCGTGGCCCTATTCGTCACCGGCGCCATGCGCAAGCGTCATCTGCCGGTCATGGCGTCCCATTATGTCCCGTCGGGCGTCGTGGTGAACTGACGCGCCTGTCAACGTTCGTATGAGGGTTAGGCAGAACAGCACCGGCACGCCTGACGCTGTTCTTGATGTGAATCCTCGGGTATGGCCCGTCATGGCCACGGGTTACATCGGGGCGTGCCGGTCTCTTTCTTGGTGTCAGAGTTTTGACCCAGGCCCATATGCTTGGACCTGGAGTGGTTGGCGGCGGTATGAGTGCTCGTCGGGCGAGATGGAGCCCGCACCCAAGGGGTCAGGCGAGACGGAGCACAAACCCAAGGGTCGGGCGAGGCGGAGCCTGCGGCCTCGGGGTCGGGCGAGATGGGCCCCCGACCCAGAGGTCGGCGAGGCGGAGCCCGCCTCCAGAGGTTGGGCTAGGCGAAGTCCGCGCACCTGAGGATCGGTTAGAGCTGTAGTCACGCTCTTGACAGCTCGGATGAATCAATGTTAATGACCATTAGCTCCTCCTCTTCGGGTACTCTAGTATTGGTCCCCGACAATTTCTATCTATTTAGAAAAATAGAAAGCTAAAACCCGAAAGTAGGGTCTAAGGTGTTACACAAAATTATACTTAGAAAAGCAGCTTCTGGTTCTATCCATTTAATTGGCTCTCAGACTTTTCTGCAGAAAAACACTTTCCAGAGCTGAATGAAACATAACCTACAGTACTGTCAATATAATTTTAGCTTTCTTTTCTGTCAACCCATTTAAAATTTAACTAAATCTATACAAAAGAGTACTAACATTTATGGTAGTAATTAGTTATTTTAGATTTATTATGGAATATAATTTTATACCGTAGAAGCCATAAATACCGATATTACTTTCTACTAAGTTTAACTCCATCAAAACCTAGAATTACATTCTTCTAGGCACATATGCAGTGTTTAAACATAAAAAAAAATATCCAAATCATAACCGCAGAGCAAGCATTTCCACTCTCGTTCGTTTGATCGATCATCATCAGTCATGATACAGTATTTTTCTCACACAACAAAACAGCCCCTTATAAGCCAATGAAACTGATGTAAGCGAAACAGGTGTTCATTGGGGAGCAGTGACAGCAGGATGGAGATACAGTACGCAGACGCTGCTTTCAGTACAGATTGTCAGACAGCTCTGACGGGGTAGCAGGACTGAAGAAATAATGCGATCGTTCCATCGGTCCATCCATCCAAACCACAGGCACAAGCACATGCAATGGAAATGCATCACAGAGATACACGTCAGAAGCAGGGAGGCAAAGCACCATTCGCTCCGAAACTTTGACTAGTTTTACGAGAAAGAAATACTATTATAGCGGCTGGTTGATAAATAGTGTTCCGTAAGGGTGTTCAGCCGGCTGGTAAACCCAGCGAACACGCCCAAAGGTTCTAGCACCACACGGCAGCACCACACGGCAGCATGCACTGCCTAATTAACTCATATATACTCCTGTGTTTCAGCAGGAAGGTTAGAAGAGAGCATTTAGGCACTGCATTGCAGCATTGGAAGCGAATGATTCGGAAGAAACTGAATCTGGCTTAGCACAGTAATAAAGTTATACATAAAACACTGCAACTGTGGCAATTTAACAAACTAGTAGCAGCCAGTTATGCACTTATGCACCGTCTTTGCATACAAGAAGCTAAAGCACGTTGGCTGTTCAGTGTTAGGCAGATTGGTTTTATTTGCAGAAAAGAAGAGAGCTCAGTAGCAAAGTAACAGACTGCTCTTCATAAATGGCTCCAAGAAAGCATAGCAGCAACTCTGGTCCAACAACGATGGACTACTTCACAGCTAATTGCTGTTATACAATAGAATAAAAACATAAAGGACATTAAAGGGACAATTTTCTGTGACAAGGAAGCGCAAAGTTTGCAGGGAACAAAAATAGTTCTTAGGCAAGTTGCTGGCATCATCTCTCCCTCCAATGTCCAAGTCAACAAAAAAGATCGGCAAAGTTAATTGATCATTTCAATCAATATACCCAATAGACCCAACAAAGAAAAGAATAGAGCTATAAAAATGAACATTTTCTGTGTTCAAATGGCTTCAATGGCATCACCTCCTGACTTTGGCCACTCCTGAACCAGGCAAAATGTAATGCAAAAATTCTGACGGAGGTGGAAGAGATAAGAAACTAGAGAGCAATGTCCAGCCTTGGCTCGAAAGAGAATCCAGTGAACAGCTGCAGCGGGAACCTCTTCGAAACAGGGCTCTTCACGGACCACTTCCATGACTTGTGGTTTATTTCAAAGGTGAGAAGAGCCGGCGACCCATAGCTCTGGATATAGATAAGATCATCTGACCCACAGCTTGCAAAAACATCATCAAGCTCGCCAAATCCTTGAAAAAACTTGTGAGGCATGCGAGCAACCTCACGCCACTCTTTGTTATGGAGCTCCCAAATGCCAATCCCCTTGATGATCCCAGGCCTATCTTGCTTGCCAATGCCACCAACCAGCACAAGCTTCTCACTCAGGTTCATCAGTCGGCCACACGTAAGAGCACAAGGCACTGGAATAGCCATGCTCATCAGAGAAGTGTGGTTAGGTCTTGCAGTGAGATCATACATTACGAGACAATGGCGATGCTCATTATTGTTCACCAGAAATCCTGTGGAGTACACCAAATAGTAGAGGACTCCATCACAGATGACACACTCATCGCCACCTCTCCATCCAAGCAGTACTCCAGTAAAGGGAGTCACCCAACTACCAGAGACCGACTCATACAAATGGATGGTAAACTCCCACTGATAATACTCCGATGGAACCTGGTTGCTTCTTGCAACAGCCACAGTGTAATGATGAGAACTTCTATCCACAGAAAAGGCAAGAGCACTGTAATCAGCTGTTTTGCCCCCAGGAGCATCAAGAAGTCTCTTCCAGTCCTTAGTGATGGGGTTGCACACCAAAATGCGGCGCCTGTTCTCACTGTCCATTAGGCACACCAACCCAGCCGACGAGGATGTAGACCAGTTGCTCTTTTCAATGCAAGGGAAATCAAATCCATACCATTTGCGGAGGCTCGGGTCATAGGCAAAACCTGAAACTCCATCCTCTCTACAGGTGAACATGAAGTACCATGGCTTCTGAGGCACCATTTTGCTCCATGCGTGCCTCTGGGCATGCACAATCTCATGCCACCTTTTGCAAACAGACCCAGATCTTATAATACTTGCAACAGGCAAGAAGGAAAGAACCTTCTCCAAGAGATCATCAGGGAGAACGGCGTCCAGTGACACTGCCATGCCCCCATTCTGATCGTCGTTATCGCTGTCTTCAGAGACCGGTCTGTATTCTATGACCTGTGAACCAATGTAGGAAGAAGGATAGAGCTCCCACTCTTCTAACCCCATTGCCAACATCCAGTGAATAACACAGTAGCTAATACAACACCCTGCAAGAGATAATATTGCAATAAAATAAGGGATGAAGCTGTAGCAATATGGAAACGTCTAATGTAGTGCTAACTAAGTATTTTCAGCCCAACCAAATTTTCTGAGTAGATAGTACATGTAAATAGAACAGCAATGTTGAGGTTAGGTACTACTCAAGTTATCTAGACTCTAATCTGTACCACCATATACGCAAATACGATGAAAACATCTTGGTGGCTGTCTACATCTCAAGGGACATTCACAGTTCATCACAACTGACCAGAACCAAACACCAAAAGTATGCCATTTCTTTGACAGACTAAACTCGCCTAGATGAAAAGGACAACAATCCAACCTGACCAATCTAACCTTTCAACGACAGGGAAGGCAGTAAGATTAACAAATGGCAGAGGTCTGCCCAGTCTTCTCTCTTTTTTATTTACTTGTTATATTAAAAAAAACTTTTGTCGATCCGTATATTTGTCTAGTGTCATGAGGATTAAACAGACACTAAATGTCAGAAACAGCTACTAAAGAAACGGATCTCGGGGGGAACAAATAGCAGGAATATGGACAGTAACGTCTCCATCACAAATGGAACCTCTCTATTATTTTCCAGAGAGAAAACATTGATTTTTGGCCACCACATTCAATTTGCCGCAGAAAGGGCCACATCACGATCATTAAAGGCGGGCACAGACAAATAAAGCAAGCAGCACAGGCATGTTAGCCAAGAACAGCACTATCTACCAACCAAATTTTACCAAAAACCGCACCACGAAACGCACGCCTAATGGCTACTACTAATCCTTGATGCCGCACAAAATCAAGAACTAATCCGCAAATCAATGCATGAAGCACAGACAAAAAAAAATCCCCAAATAATCCGGTCCCTGTGAGTAAATGAAAATAAACATAAATGGGGGGAAGACGATGCGATTATACCTCTCCTCAAGAACAGAAATCCAAGAAAAGATCCTCCCTTCCCGAATCCACCGAGCCGCCGTGTCCACCAGAGTCCTGACGCTTTCAAAAACAGATTGAACATAGATTCAGCGGCGACGAAACAATACACCAAAAATCAAATCTTTGCCACAAATCAGTAACCAAGAAATTCCGGGTAGAGAGAGAGAGAGAGGGGGGGGTATACCGGTCGCTGTTTCTTGCGCGGCTTCGGCGGCCGGTGACGATCGGATGAGGCGCGAATTCCCCCAAACTGGTGGGGGCGAGGGGGGCTGGGCCTTGGTGCCCTCCTACTCCGAGAAAGAGATGGAACAGTGGGCTTTCTCCTGCCCCTACATTAGGTCACGCCCCCCATGGGCGTCGCGTCTAGCGGAGTGCCACAAAGGCGTACTATATAGAGCTCTACTATATATGGAGGCGAGGTAGAGAAAGGGGAAGGTGCTTGCTTCAAGCAAAAAAATGTTATATATAGAGAGGGAGAGGGTCGATCGGTTCAGCTTCAGAGGTACAGTACAGGGTACTGATGAATGCTACTAGTGGATAGGGAGGGAGAGAGACAGAGAGAGGGAGAGGGAGAGGGGTACAAGAGGAAACGAAAATTCTTTGGAAGGTACTTTTAACTCTACCGGACATATCCACCTGAGAAGTGACATAGCTAATCTCACTGTCATCGTACTATCTAACTAGGTAGTACTACCTCCTTCCTAAAAGGATCTGACGATGGTTTAGGTGTCACGAAAAGTGAATGATCAAGTTTTTAATAAATAATATTCACAGTTATATTTTTAAATTAATGTATTATAAAAATATATTTCGTAATTAATCTGATTGTATTTATTTAGTATTATAAATATGGATCCTTTTTATCTATAATTGATTAAACTTAAGGTACTAAAACGTGACATTGTACTATAATTGTATTTTTTAGGGACGGAGGTAGTATCTACCGACACATTCGTATTCTCCTGTGGACTTTAATATTAGACTTTATTACTATAGTATGTACTCCATCTTTTCTAAATTATATAAATTATTTTAGCTTTGTAAAAAAAAGATTTCCTATATTGTGCCATCCTGCCATGAGTGATTCTATACGAAGACCAATCGAGCTTCTTTGGTTTGAGTATGAGCATTGAATATTTCAATTATATACTCTTTTTGTCTTCAAATAAATCAATTCTAGAACCCGTGCTTTTAAGTTTGACTAACTTTATAGAAAAGATTAACTACATCTATGATATAAAATGTGCATATTAAAAAAAACATTCTATGGTACATCTAATGACACTAGTTTGATATCATAAATCTTGAAGTTTTTTTTCTACAAAATCGGTTGAAGTTTCAAAGTTTGTCTTAAGACAACTCCAGGAGTCTATTTATTCAGGGACAGAGGGAGTAAGATGGACACCACCTAAAACTGGCTTTCCCCAGGCAACCTGCTAGGCAAAGTATACTATTCTGGGTTCAAAAAAACAAGGCAGATTGAAATTCTAGATTTACAAAAATTTAAAGAACACATGGGCGCTCGCCTCCAACTGCCTGTTGGATTCTGGATAGAATCGCAATGTCGAAACATACAACCACGTCTTCCAGTTAGGATTAGGATCAAAGCTAGTGAAGATTGCTTCAAGTAGCATATTTGTGGGGAGTGCATTATAAAAGAAACTTCAGGCAACTGCAAACATTGAGAGGGAACAATAGTGGATTATGTTGTGTCTGAGTAAACTACCACAGCCATACTCATGTCAAAGCTCAGGGAAAGTGGACCTCTCCTCCGATGCCCTCAAGTAGCCCTTGACATTATCCACAGTTCTAGGTCCAAAATATGTATCTAACTTCTGACATGAACTGTCATTACGATTTTTTTGTGTGTGGTTGTAGCCAAAGAAGTTATACAACAATTTGAGAAGTGCAGCAACAATGGTACGATACAAAAGCACAACTGAATAATCCAAGCAACTGAACCACAAGATTTTAACCCTTTTATCAAATACAATCCTAGGATATGCATATTCTGGGTTAGGTATGGGCAAGCAGTAGGGTAAAATTAAGAGCTATGCAACAGGCTCCAATTTAAACGTAGGGGAATAAAACTTTACAGCCTTTGTGAGTTGTTACACGGTTTTAGTGTTGGGCTAGTAATACATGGAAGGGTATTTCTTTCTTTGAAAACACATAAGTATATTGGTCTGAAGGTGAAGTTGAATCAAAACAACATCTAGTAACAAATGAAAGTACATTTTTCTTTGAATTTTTGTTTTTCATTCCATTAAGAAAGGTTCGACAAGGTACCTTAATATATATTCTTTTTGCAAAGGTGTCAAAACCAATATATTTAGTATGCCAAAGATTTCGTAATGTGGTAATACTACACAAAAGAGGTGATCGGTGCACCACTATTCCAGATATAATATGCATTTGGCTGGCAATAGAAGAAGCTGTATGGATCTAAATTGTTTAGGCTAGCACAATTCTGATATCACTATTAGGATTCATATGTGTGGTTGATAGCCTGACACTATTTGGTTGGTGGAAGAAACGAGAACGCAAAGTTGGCTCTCTTCTCAACTGGAACACAAAGTGTGGGCGACGAGTTTTAGCTTGGCATTGCTCCACTGATGTTGAGCTTGGGCTTAGTACTTAGAGACAACAATACTAGTGGTATTTGAGCATCATGGAATCACCATGCCGGTAAAGAATTATTATTTTGTGTTATCCTTTTTAGATGTTGACGTTGTTGATCCATACGACATAGCTGACGGAGCACTATCTGTAAAAGAATTATTTCACTGAGAGCTTCGCTGCTCAAAAAGGTATTACTCAATGGTCAAAACAAGAGTAACAAAATAAATATGGAATGTTAGAGTGATGTAAGATTAGTTGAGAGGTGAGCATGTGCGCTTTGTATTAACCACGCCAATGAGAAGTTTGGATAGCTAGAAGCTTTTCTTAACGAAAAAAGGTTATTCAGCGAGACACGGAAGTAATAGGTAGTTAGGACATCGTCCCTTTTTGAGAACCATTTGAGACACTTGTATCTATTATTATGTCTTTCAGGAAGTTTTTGCCGTTTTGTATTTTTGTTTACAAATGTTTGTGAGATGAACTGGATCAGAAAACATTGGCAAAAACTTCAGACTATGACAGTACAGAATGCTGACCCAGATAATAGTTGTGCATCAATGTTGTGTGATTGCCTTAACTGAATTCATACACGGTAGAAAACATTAAAAACAATTTAGACTAAAATTTATTTTAATCACAGATAATATGTAATTATTTGCTTCTTTAGTATTCAGAAACAAAACCGAAGAATCTATGATGGGAAATTGGATTTCAATCAAAATGGGTTTAAAAAATGTGAGTTGGATACATTTAGCTATTTCATCGAACAACTAGTATGTATTTACATTAACAAACAACAAGTCCTTATTATATATATAATATACAAAATGAAATACTCCATTTAGATTAGGATGCTCTAGTGCAGACTGCAGAGAATGGTTGGACCCATTACATTTCCATGTAGAGACAGACAAAAGGAAGAAAGCAAGGACCTGTGTGTGTGTCACCTAATGGGACCAGTCAATGAGACAGTCAAAGTGAACAGCATGTATCAATTTCTATTTGTTTTCATATAACAGAGGGGCATGATTTTGCACATTTCGAAGAAACTTGTCATGGCAAAGAACCGTTTAAGAATGAATAATTGTCCTAGATGAGTAGATGTTCCTGAAATTCAGTTCAATTCAGTCATACCGTCAGGCAGACAAGCAAGCAAAACACACACACATTTCACATTTGAGCGGTGTGGCAAGCAAGAAAAGCAACCTGAAGCTGCTATCGCTGAGCCAGTTGCAGCTTCCACGTTGTCGCCGGCCCGCCGTGCCGGAACACGCCGCCATGGTCACTGGACACCGGCAAGCAGGTTGATGTTCTTGATTGGCCTCTGATACGGAACGCGCCAATCTCCTCTTTGACTCTGCCCCTGATATCGACGAGCAGGCAGCGGAGCC